GCCACTGATGAAGGTGACACAGAGAGAGAGAGAGAGAGAGAGAGAGAGAGAGAGAGATTTTGCATGCTGAATTTGCAAATTTATAATTTACAAAGTCAAGGGAGGGCATGGGATGTAGCTCAATGGTAGACTGCTCACCTTCCACGTCTAGCACCACAAAACTATTAAAAAGTAAAAGCAAAGCCAGGGGATACTGTAAGAATAAATATCACAATAGGTATGAAGTGGATACAACACCTAAAATTTTGATCCACAATTTATCAGAACAGCAGAGAAAAGATATTCAACTTGGGTTATGGGGTATGTGGACATTCAGTGTGTTTCTGTGTAAGCCTATATTTTCCTTTTGCTTCTAAGTTGTGTTTTCCTTGGGCTTTCTGCAGTTATAGTCATTATCATTCAAATCATGGAAAACATCTAATACAAAACAAAACCTTCAACAGTCAAATTCAATTATGTTGCAGAAGTTTGGCCCTTGTGAAATATATTTCACAGATGTCAAATGAATCCATGCAGATGTTCTTACAAGCATAACCACTCTTCCTCACCTCTTAATTTGGCCTTGGAGAAACCTGAAGAATGACAGAGTTTGAAGCCATTACCCTTATAAAAAGCGAACTCCCACTGAGATCAAAGTAGCACACCAAAGCACAGAGATTAGGCCCTAAATTCTTCCTTTTCAACACACAAACTCAAAACCAAATGGGAACAGAAGCCAAGTGGGGAAGATACCGGCCCCAGGAGGGAGAAAAGGATGAGCATTCCTGCTCTGGTGAAATGGTGGCGTGTCACGTGGGGGCCACTGTCACCAGGGAGATTGTGACAGGTAACTGGGAGCCTAATGTTGCAGTTATGAAGTGAAAACACGATTCTCATATCTGTACAACAGGAATGTGTCAAAGACTTGACTCGTCTCATGAAAAGTATTGTGGCTTGTGTCTAGATGTCCCCTTCAAGCGTTATGTGGTCACAGGTGGGGCTTTTTCAGAGGTGGCTGGATCGAGATTATGTGGCTTTGGGACTGACTCGTGGTGCAGTGCTAGGTTCAAGGGCTCTAGGATTAAGGGCGCGAGTGCTACCAGCTCTAAGGGACAGAAACTGCTGGTCACTTGCTTGCTTTTGCTGTCTTCTGCCTGCCATAAATCATTTTTCCTCTGTGATGCCCCTCTGCCATAATGATCTACTCATGGAGGAAGTATCAACTGCATTTCCAATGGACAAATTTTGGAGGAGAAATCCAGTGGACAGATCATTGACAGAGAGATACACAGATACTAACAGAGAAAGAAACACAGACATTTAGAAATACACAGTCATATAGACAGAAAATAGAAAGACAGATGGACTAGAGCAAAGGCATCTTTTCAGGGTATGGCATGGTCCAAGATAGCTGCTGGAAGCCCCACCCTTGGTCTGCAGAAAAGAGAAAACGGGGCAAATAAATGTGTTTCTGATTAGATAGTTCTCTTAAAGAGGCATTTGAAAACCCCTTTGCAATAATTCTGTATTGCATTTAATGGGCTAGAAATTGGTTCCATGGTTAGTTACATTTTGCAACAAGGGAGCTAATGGAAACAGAAGTGTCACTTGATGTAGTGACATGCTCAGGTGAAGAATTAGGTTTTAGTTAGGTTTAGTTAGGAAGCAGAGAGACTGGATTCAGAGGCCAAGAGCAATCTTTCTCACCTATGGTAGAAGGTGCATGATGAGAATTTAAATTGCAGTGAGCCCCTAACAAGGCGATGGACGAATGCCATGTGCTCAGCAAATTTGACACTGATTTTCATTCATGGAATAGGATGGCAATCTTAATATATTGCATAACCTTGACATGTGCAGGCTAGGAGTTCTCAAACTTGGCACCACTGCCATGGAAAGCCGGGTGGAGTTTGCTCCTGTTTTATCACAGGTTATTTATCAGCATCTCTGCCCTAACTCACTAAATGTCATGATTTCCCATTCTTACTTATGGCAACCAAAAATGTCTCCAGCCACCAGGAAATGTCTCTCCAGGGAAAAAAGTGCCCACTGTGGGGGCAACAGTCCACCTGAACTAGAGCAGCATACTAAGTTGCTCTGCTCTAGTATCAGTGGTTAACTGAGGCCGGGGTGAAAATCTTTGAGAGTGTGGTACTGATTCCATTCTGTGGACCCCAGCACAGGAAAAAGAGCAGATTTTCCCAGTGAATAACAAGTAACCACAGCAAGTCACATAGGTAGAAAATGAATTATACTTTGTTTGCTTTTCTTCTCAACGCTGCTGACCAGTCAAGAAATGCAACTTAAAACAACGCCTAGATTCCATCTAATGACAGGAAGAATAGCAGTCATCAAGAGATCAAATAATAACACACGCTGGTGAGGCTGGAGGGGTGTTTTCTACATTGTTGGTGGGAAGGTAAGTGAGTATAACTGCTGTGGAGGTCAGTATGGAGAATTCTCAAAACACTAAAGCTGTAAATTCCGTTTGACCCAGCGATGCCCCTTCTAGGTGTCTTCTCAAAAGAGTTAAGCCCATCGTGTTACAGCGATCTATGCACATCCACGTTTATGGCAGCACAATTTATAACAGCTAAATCTTAGCAGCAGCCTCCCTGCCCACGAACAGATGAATGGATAAAGAAGATGAGCTATTTACACACAATGGAGTTCTACCGTGCTACAATGTGAGATAACTCGAGTCATTTGTAGGAAAATGGATGCGACTGGAAACCATAATGCCAGGTGAATAAAATCAGGCACATGCGCTTAAATATCACATGGTTTCTCTTACGGGAGAAATCATAATTATAAACAAAGAGGAAAATAAAGATAGATAATAGGAAATGGGAAGACAGACCTTTCTCAAATGGGAAAGGGGTCAAGAGATGGACGAAGGGGGACGAAGGGGATAAAGGAATTAAGATGTGCTGAGCTCATGCACCAACTCCACACAAGACAAGGAAACATTATTAGTGCAAACATCTATCAATTAAAAAAATTTTTTTAAGAAAATGCTATTTAAAGCTGCTTATCCACAGGCAACCTACTATAAGGAACAGTGATTCAAATTTTAGCATGTCCCACTGACTCGCTCAGTGATTCCGGGGCCACCATCAAATATGCTCTGCCTGAATTTCCCTACCCAGGAACTGGAATTACCATCGCTCACAGTGGACCTCACTGACATAAGGACAAGAGGAAAAATGTATGCAGTGCTTTGGACGCTGTCATTTTTCTACACGTTTCCAGTTGTGATGGTTTTCCAAGGAAGTATAGCTTCATTGACACGTCAGATGCCTGCCCAGGGGTCCCCATGGCTCTCCAGTAAAACACAATTCCTAAATTTATGCTAGCTTTAGAATGTATTGCAAAATTTCTGATGGAGTGAGCCGGGACTTACTGATCGATGCTCACTTTCAGGCAACACAGAATTGATTTCTTTTCTAGTGAAATGCAAAGACTTGGTTCAGCCATCATAATTCCATTGCAAAATCTGGGGAGTGCAATTTTCTTTCATTGCAATGTTTAAAAATATCACAAATGAACCTCTCCTTTCACATTATCTTCAAGTCTGTAAAAAATAATTAGTTTTTTGATGGGTGAAGGGAAAAATTGGGTCTAAAGAAGAAAGGATGCTGATATAACACATTATCATTCATGTAATGTCCAACTATACAAATGTAACACAAATAAGACAATGCTCATGCAATTTGGTTAGCCTCAAGGCAAACTGTATGTAGTGTAGGTGTGTAATACATGTATGTATGAAATCTGTGTATTTCAAAACTTCACCTGACATAAATAAGTTATCCACAATTCAAGTTGAAGAACAAGCAATATATACGATTAGAAGGAGCCTTGTCAATGAAAGAGCAAAAGGATCAGAGCCAAGGATTTCATTTCTGCTCAAGACCCACACAGTCACGGGACGGAAGTGTGGCTCAATGGCTAGAGCATTTGTCCAGCATGTGTGAAGGCCCTGGGTTCAATCCCCACTGCTAAACAGAAGACTAAGCTGATCTTCTCCAAAGTTTTTCACATTCACTCACTCACTTCCAAATAGTGTTCAGTTTTTCAGTAACATTCATGTTTATAAAATGGCACAAGGCATGCGCAGTTGTATGAGTGCATCATTATACACAAATTTCATGGCTTAAACATATTCCACAATCGTTTACTTTGAGATAATGGGTCTAAAATATGCCTAAAAACAAAAATATTTTTCATAAATATATTTTAGTGGTATGTATCAGATACTCCCCAAATTAAGTTTGGGTCATAAAATAATGCTTAGTTTTATGCCTAATAGTAATGTCTATGAAATAGACCTTTGTAAATACTGTTAAGATCCCAAAATTGCTCTAATTATTTTCAGCAAGGTTTGTAAACTTTATTTACATACACAGTGTATTTCCCACCGGATAAAGTACCATTACAGCATCGTGTGTGTGTGTGTGTGTGTGTGTGTGTGTGTGTGTGTGTGTGTAAAATTTTGGTGTTTCAGAACTGTGTAAGAATTTTAGCAAGCATATGGTAAGTCTAATGACAAAGTTTAGCAAAGAATACTCAAAAACATAAAACAGAGTGCTGCTTGAATAATGAAGTTACTTAACCAGCAATTCCTATAAACCAAGCAAACAATATACAAAGCAATTTAGGTATAAACACAATCATTAAATATCGTGGTCTAACGGGAAGGCATTCCTCTTTTTAAAAATGATTAAAAATTACAGAATAAAAAGAAAATAAGGCAGTGCACAGAAGTAAGTATACCTGTATCTTCACTGCAGTGATGGCTGCACTAATAGACTGTAAAAGTGATAAACTGTCATACAATTGTATGCATGTAAAGTATATTTTGTTCCCTTGATATTGTTTACAATTACATACACTATAACCACTAATAGAAACTGGGTCTGAGTGAATTCTCTCTAGTATCTTTGCAGCTTCCTGTGAAACTATATCCCAAAACTTGAAGTTGTTAACCATTTTAACACAATTAGTTGTAGGAGACGTACCTTAGAACATTGCTTGTTATTCTGGCACCAAACCAGGGAACCGTTATTCTGCAAAAAGGAAAAGAAACATCAACCGATTAAATAATTCTGTAGTCGAAAATCAAATCCAAGTTATGTGCATAATTTTAAAATATCTGCATAACAAAAGAGCAATCTTGCAATACTGATGTGTTTCTCGCTTCCTAAGATAGAAAATATGTTTCTTTTTCATTCTTTTTTTATGGTACCGGGATCGAATTCTAGTCCTTGTGCTTGCAAAGCAGGCGGTGGAACCACTGAGCTAAATCCCCGGCCCAGAAAACATGTTTCTAATGTAAAGCCTGCTTTATCATTGTCTTCATGATAGAAACAAAGCCATACAATAATAAAGATTCCAAGCTGTAAAAGGGAAAGGGGTCTGAGCCAATGTTCATGGTGTGCTGTGCAATGAAAGGCAGACCTGCAGGAAAATGAACTCCAGACATTTATTCCACAGTAAGCAGATTTGGTAAATTTACAAGTTGAGCATCTTGGAGGATTTCAATCTTGCCCATTTACAGCGATAAGAGTTTGAAATTGGGTGCTAGAGCAGAAGTGATCAGCTGCCCCTTCTCTTTTACCAGATGTGTATTAATAGTCCTATGCCTCATTTTACCAATGAGTAAATAAGTGTGACAGCAATATGTCACACATCAGGTAACTGGGACAGCTAAAAGAAACTAGTCGAGTTACACTTCACCATGGGCAATCTTTCTGACGGGAGTCAACACATGATTTTGACACGATATGAATAGCATAGTGCACCATAGTTAGATACAAAAACCACTTAGCATGGTTTCACCTTCATTCAAACACCAGGATGATGATTTATTGACCTGAACAATAGAACCTCTGCTTGGTAATGAACTTGTTCCACCCACGTAAGATTTTGGATGTGGTGTTTCCTTTGGTTGTTTGATTATTTGAAGTCAGATTTCACTAGCTGAAGTGCTTGGGAAAGCTGGCAGAAACAATGAGCCAAAATTTAAGATGCCGTGGCCCTCAGTTCTCTCAAGTTCAAGGTCAGAGATGAGCAAAAATGGCCCATTTTCTGTGTTTGAATCTCTGAACTTCTAATTTGAAGAATTCCATGTGTAGAGAGTAGTTGTACATGTGTTTGCAGTTATGAGAAAAGAAAGTTGAGCCCATACCAAAGCTTTCAAAAGTATTTTTATAAGCAGGTTTATTGAGATATAATTCACATACCATAAAATCATTGAAACCATGTAATTCAACGACTTTAGTACATTCACAAGGCTGTGAAACCATCACCACTATCTCTCCGCCACCACTATCTAATGTTACAACATTTTCATGAGCCCAGAAACCTGTATCATTTGAAATCACTCTCAATTTCTCTCCACACCACTTCCTCGGAAGCCACCAATCTGTCTCTACAGATTTACCTATCCTGGATCTCACATAAATGGCCTCGTGCATCATTCTTTTGTTTCTGGCTACTTTTGATGAAAACAATGCTTTTCATTACGCTAAAGGGTACAGCACTTGGCTTCCTCCATACTTAACAGATATGGGTCCTTCATCCCTCTATACTGTTAGATTCCTTTGTATGCAGACACTATGTTTTTCTCATCCTCTCTCAATCACAGATCTCAATATGTTCTTTGCCCAGTAATACAACTTCAGTCATAGGACTCACAATATTTCTAACTAGAACTCAGCTGTACAGGATTAGAAATCATTCTCTTATACGAAGATTGCTGAGATGAAAGATCTGAGTCTCACATTAACACTTCAGCTATTCAGCCTCTCTAACTCTTTTGTAGTTTCAACTCCCAATGATTCATACAAGTACCTAGGATGTTAGCCAAAATAGATTCCGCTTACCTACCTCGCTACTGAATTCCATCCACAAGCTCCCATGGTCCCTTTGTCTGTCTGTCTGTCTGTTTATTGACTGATCGATCTATTTCTTGGTCAGACAGATGAGGACTGAATGTGGGGAAATATACGAACTACGTGTGACTTTTGGAAGGGTTTTGATCTAGGAAAGAATTGGATTGAAAAGAGGCCAACGCTGGACACATGGCGGGCATGGCCTAATTACTGCAAAATGAAGTGTTGGCAGGAAGGAGGCCAGAAGGGAAGCGTGCTGTGTGCTTTGATATGTTATGAAGGGAGCTACTGGGTTGGTAATGAATGTAAAGTTCACCGTGATAGCCAGCAGACCGAGCAATGGTCACAAATGAGGTAATGAGTACACAAAGCAGGGCTGGAAATTAAAAAGTAGAAAATGCAGAAGCTGAGAGCAAGGACAGAAGAGCTACACAATGCTCACACTCAAGAGCTCACCTGGGAAGAGGTCTTCTTGTTTTTCTAAATTTATTGTTCACCTTATGATGTCTCCATTACAGAACACAAAATTTAAAACACAGAAAAGTAGAAAAACATATCAAATGTGACCAGTTAGTTAAGAGTCACTGTGCACGTCTCGGTGTTCTTCACGTATGGATTTGTTTAATGCTGGAGAGATTTCTGACACCCTCCACTGCCCTATGATAGATAATCTTTTATCCAAGTCTTAGATCCCAGTCCCACCTGGAGTACTATGGAAATGAGGCTGCTCTTCATTAGTAGTATCTTTGTTTACCTGGGTCATTCCAGCGACAGAGCAGCTCTAGGTTCTCCTAGAGGGGAGCATCCATCCCAAGGGTGGCTGTGGTAAGTAGGTGAGTAGGTCTGGGCATGTGGCTCACAGGTACAGCATGTATTTAGCATGTAGGAAGCCCGGGGTTGGAGCCCCAGCTACATGCACCTGCACATGCACGCACACACACAGAACATATGACAACACTTGCCCTACATTATTTGTTGAAAAATATCACTGATGTGGCAATATGCCTTTGACATTTTTTTTTCAGCTTTAATTGAGTTTATTGGTACATTTTAGGGATACAGTAGTTACATTCATTGTTGAGATCTTGTACCTCTACATGACAAGTCTTGGTTCTCATTTTTTCCCCTTGTCCCTGCCCTCCCTTCACCCCCTCCTCCCCTCCCCATCTACAACCACTTTATTTCCATCTTTTCATTATCTCACAATTTTTTTCTTTTCCCTTTTTACCCTTCCCCTGCCCATCACACCTTCCCTACACCTTTAACTCCTTTCTTCCCATTTCTCAATGTCGTAATCTTACTAGGATCTTCTGTATTATTGCAGATTATTCACACCAGAGAAACTATTCGGTATTTACACATGTGTGCCTTATGACATTTATTTTTTTATCTACTAACTTTTTATTTGTTCGTGTACTTATTTAGAGATGGAATCTCACTATGTTATCTAGGCTGGTGTCAAACTCCTGGACTCGAGCGATCCTCTTGCCTCAGTAATCACAGAAACTGAGACTAGAGCCTTTCACTATTATTATTGTTACAATGATTCTATGGACCGTGTTTATGTGACAGGTACCCACCTTGGTATTTTGGATACCTGCCCTACATAGCAATGCCAGATAACCACACAAGTTTCATCTGCCCATTTTACAGTACAGTAGCTAAGAGGAGAAAAGAAAAAGCAAGGAAAATATCCAGAACCTTGAAGCCAGTGACCAAACTCAATGATGAATGATACAACAAGCACAGCCAGTTCAACAAAGGGGTTGCCAGGCCTCTGAAGGATCCAGATCCATGTAGCTAGAAGAAGAGGCAAGCACTGACCCAGAGAGTTCAAAGACCACCAAAGTGACAGAGGGCAAACTCCTGGGCCCTTAACCCATTAGTCATTAAATGCCTATAGGTGCCCAATAGTTAGCTAAAGACAGAGGAAAAATTCATTGTGCATCTATCCCTTTATCACCTTACAATCTGGGGTCAGATGCCTGCTCAGCTCTGCATGTAGGCATGGTGATCATTTAGGAAGTATCTGTCTAGAAACAGGTAATACAAAGTTGATTAGCCATAAATTTATGTAGCCCATTGCATCCCCCTTTGAGACCAAGAACATCAAGGTAAGAGATTTACAATGGACACCCAGAAGTCTTGCGCTGTTGCTCTAAACCTTCAATTCCTGCAGAGCCTTCAGAAGACTTGGATGGTGTCAAGAAAAGACAATCATCTCAGGGAGACCAGACTGTCCTCCTGAGCCATGAGGACTTCCCCACAGCTGCCTTGCAAAAGCAAAACTGAGATAACGATCAGGCAGACCCTGTCCCGTAGATGCCAAGGACCTGCTCTAGGCCACGCTGAGGTTGCTTCTCCTCTTTAGGAGCCCTGACTCAGACCCTGTCTGGTGACAGTTCTAAAGCCCATGTTTAAGAAGCAGCAGATCAGATGGATGAGATGCAGAGAATAGAAGAAGGGATCAGGTAAATAGGAAACAGATTACAGCGGATTTGGACTTATCTGTGGAAATACTTGTTTTTTATTCAGTAAATTCAGAATTAACTTTTATAAAACAGGACAAGAGCAATGAGAATTCCTGTATGTTGTATACCTTAATTAGCTTCTTCTGTATGAAGAATGGCCAAATTTCAGCAAAAGCATCTATAAAGAATCCATCACAAATGCCTTCACTTGCTGGTCTTCACTTTCCAGATGCAAACCCATTGCCTTGCTCCAGGCCGGCTTTTGTCCTTTCTGGAAATCCCATGCTCCACACCCTACTGGCTCACACACACACATCCCTCAGTATCAACATCAACATGAGAAAGACCAATAGCCACAGAGCCGGTCCGTTGATTCACTTGACTTTTATTGAGAAATCATGCCAATATATTACCTCAATCAAGGCATTTCAATTTCACCAAAATTTTCCACTAATCATAAAAGGAAAAGTTCTGTCATTGAAAAGAAATATTTGGGGCAATTGCAAGCCGGCATGAAAGATTATTACGATTAGGATGTTTGTGTTTGTTTTTGTTTCTAGTAAAGGCACCGTGTCCGAGAATGAGTAGGAAGATTAAAAAAGATAATCCACGCACAGTATTTAGCAAAATAACTCCACTGACACAGTTAGATGTGAGGGGAAAAAAAAGATCACTGTCATTACCGCTGTGATGATGTTATTTTCCATT